AGTGATGTGTGAGGTTTCTCCCTCTTGGATGATTCCCAAAAACAAACCTCGTTTGTTGTCAGCCTGCCATTCAGACTTGACTCTCTGTGTTGGTATGGCTTGAGTGCTGATTTGGTAATATTCATTCAACAGTTGTGTTGTTGCTGTCTTTGTTGTTTCAATATTCATTTGATGTTTTTTGACAAAAGAATGAAACTCGAACCAACCAAAATAATTGCAGTCAACAATCAAATTGGACAATATTCACCAATAATCTTTTAAACTCGTACAGTTTGTACAGTGTTGTCATGAAAGTCATGGTTTGACACATTTTCATCAAGTTACCAGTGAGTATCAACGAGTATCAATCAACAAAACTGGTCTCGTTGGTCGATATACTATTGATGCACTTGCATATGAAACTGTACGAGTTCAATCAATGTTTCTTGCACGATTGTCAAATGTTCAGATGAAGTCAATCTCATGGCAGGACACAAAATTTGACATTATCAAATAACAACCAATACTAAACAATTGGGTTACCACATGATGGCTCATTTGGAATGCAAGTTGAATCCATTAGTGGTCATTGATACCATCAAGTGTATTGGCAAATACACAATGGTTTGTAATGGTAAATTGATTTCAAACACATCACCGCTTATTTATCACTGGATACATATTTGAAAGTATCCAATATCACTTGATACTGAATGTCCAAGTGTCTGCTCAGAGTTGCTCACAATATTGACGATATTACAACAACATGATGATTCAAATTTGGAAAAAGTAATATTGGCTTGTTTAATCTTGAATTACTGAAATCAAATGGTTTACAATGATCCGATCATGTCAAATATAACCGATTGCAATTATTTTGGAATCATGTCAGATTATGACAATCTGTTCGAGTTGTTTGAGCCAATACAGTGTGATGGAGTGATGGAAATACTCGAAATACACACAATACAACTCTTGCAGCAGTGTATGAAACTATCAAGCATGACATGACATGGCATGAAGGGTGTAGATTAGACTTGATAACAATGTGTATGATTTGGACTTTTAAATTCGGAAATAGCAGCTCTGTTCCAACATCACATTGATTGTAAATGTCGATGTTGTTTAACCTTGTACAAACGACCATTTCACATGCAACTTTAGCCTGATATCGAGTATTTTCAAATGAATGCAAACTTGCAACACTCGCTTGACTCGTTTGGCTCGGATTCTGGTTGATATTTACGATATCGATGCAAAGTTACATTCCAGAATGAATGTGTATAATCTGATGTGGTCAATCGTTTGATTTCATTGTTATCAGTCATTGATACCAGTTATTGCATTGATTGCAAATAGTAGTCCAAGTAATCATGCATAAACAAACACCAGATAGTCACTGATAAACTGATGGTATCCAATGTATACATGACACATTGTATAGTTCCATTTAATTGCCAGCAATGTGTGATTGGATTACTCGAGTCATCAAGCAATTATCAAATAGTTTTCAAGAACAATCAAGTCATGTCCAATAAACTGTCTGATGTGCAGGTGTTTTGGCATTGGTCCGTTGGTCCATTAGTACGATTGTTGGTTGGCAATTCGGACTTGTAAATGACAATTGATTCTTGATTGTTGCATTGGTGTCCATATGTGTCCATATGTGACTCATTGTATACGGAACAGGACTGACAAGTGTGTCTGAATTGATGCCAGATGATACAGCCTATCCAACAAAAAGTAATACATTGATCGTGTCTGCGTGGAAATAAGCTTCATAACTTCCACTTCTGAATGTATGCGAATCAACTTTCAAACAACGGATACGTCCAATGACTCTTGCAAATGCATTGATAGAGTGTTGTTGAATAATTCGAGTGTTTACAAATCAGCATCACTGGAAATAGTTACTATTGTCCAGACAGTCAGTTGTTCAGACATTACAGTTGTAATACTATCCATGCCTCACCACAGTTGCAACGTTCAGATAGAAATGGCAAAATTAAAACAAGAGCATCCTTCAATATCAGTTTAGTCAAAACCTTGATACTTGTTTGTCTGTATCCCAATATATTTATCAACTCCATGTCATTCATCAGATAATATTGTATAGATTTTGGCAGTGATATCGACAAGATAATCTGTACTAGGTCCAGTCGTATCCATATCCACAACGCACTCGTCCAATCCAATCTTTTCATCAAGACTATGCAAGAAATTCAACTGCATATAGTTTGTAACAATTCCATACACCGAGTTCAAATGACTAATCTCTGCTGCAGCTTTACATCCAATCAAATACTGTGACATTTCCAGTCTCATATCATCCTTGCTTGCTTCAGTAATATAAACTCTTTCCGCGACGTAAAACATTCAAAGTGACCATGAACCTTTAAGAAATCACCATCCAATCTTTTTCCACTTGTATCTGAACGTTTCGGGTAAAAACAGACAAATGATGAGTGGAGCAATCGAATAAAGTCCGAGACACATTGCCTGATGTAACTGAACCAAAGCATGTTGTAGCAAACGACAAATAGTGTGAAATATTGAATTTGTTTTCTGGGATTGTTTTTGACGATTGATGTAACAACTAGTTTACAGCACAGGCTTGACCTGATTCCAACAAACATACATACAAGTGTTGAATCAGTGGGGGTTGACTTTGTTCTTTTCAAGTATTTGATCGAGTTGCTCTCATACTTTTTTGTTTAGAATGGGATATTTTAAAGTTCGATTCAGACAATGGCGACTCCAGTTGTGAGATATTTGATCCGACGTTGATTACAAGTTGCTGTAATTGTAATGAATAAATGATGATTTCCAGTATTTTGAACAAGAAATGGGCAGTATGGTTGTAAAGAAGGTCCTCGATCAGTCAGTCAAAGTGAGAGTTGGTCAGCACTGTAATAGCCAAGTCTTGATGATAACTCATTGTTTAATTTAAAGTCATCACATCTGTGCAGTCTTGTAGAAACTCTTGCGTTGTTTGACCCGAGTTTGATCCAGAGTTGTCATTTTTGTGGAATCGGTGTCGCAAAACGTAGCAAATCTATAGCTGATAATTCCAACTGCCATTCAAATTGAAATTCAGTTTTATAGTTTATATGAACAAGCAAATATCATTCGAATGAACCGTGTTGTATGGTGCTATTGATATACTAGTAGCATGCTTTTGATCGTACTCGATAGCATAAATACAATACAAGACTCTACCTGTTGAATGACAACTTGCTTGGATCCAGTAAAACGACACTCTAGTTGTTTACTGTAATACTCTGTCACTGTAGTTAGTGTGTTCAGTATATGCGACACTAACTCAGTGTGACTACAAATACTGGATCCAGTCTGTTGACAGATTTTAATCCAGGTGATCTAGATGATGTATATGTAGTTGATTCTAGTCCAACTCTAGTTCAATTCTAGTTCAATTCTAGTGAATGGAATGTTTTAATCACAAGTTACACAGCAAATGGTCATGATGCCAACATAACAAGTTTAGTGTTCAACTTGACAGTGACTGAACCTATTGTTCATTATGAATTGACAACTCGGCGAGTGAAAACCTTGCCGATTAGAGCATGAATACCGGAAACCAACAACAATCCAGTCCGATTCACAAGACTCGACTTGAGATTGAACATCAAAAACACTTGGGTTGCGACAAATATGGTTTGGAAACATCAGTTTTACAAAACTGGATTCAAGCAACACTACTTGGATGTTGTTCAGTCTGGTATAACTTGACCATATGATGCATCTCGGATCAGCTGGTAATGCAGTGGTTTGATTCGGTTCGTTCTACAATGTTGTATTTCAATGATTGTCACAATCTGAGCATGGTGCAGTTGCTCAAGATTCTGGTGCTGAACAATAAACTCTTGAACCAGACCCGACACATTGTTGCAGCTCAAAGTGGACCATCAACAGTCTCGAGTAGGATATGCTACAATCCAGCGTGTATTGCATGATGGTTTACTTATTTATCTTGCATTCAATCTCATCCATTCAATAACATCATTCATTACCAATACAATGACACGACACGACATGGCATGCTTGAATTGATTATATTGCACTAATCACTACTATACACTGAATTGATCTACCGGACCCATCAAAACCCATATATTTGTGATTGATCAACATTACGATATTCAAAATGTACTGTTAAAAACAGCTGTTTTTGTGCAACAGCAACCAATACAACTAGGTTTACTCATCATGTTCAACATCACTGTTTGTGTTTTTGTCGTCCGATTTACAGCTACCAGCAGTGTGTGATACAATGATGATCCCAATATACTTGTAGCAACGTGAACAATAGTGCTGTTTTTGTTCCATATCAAGCGTGTTGTGCATTTTGAATGTAGCGGTATTCATGTTGGAAATCAAAGACTATTGTGAAACTAGAGACTCGGCAGGTGTAGTAACAAAGCTGGTTATTTATTACAAAGGTATGCATTGATCCATTTATAGCTGATATGATGTACGTCATTGCGCACATCATCCAACTTTGTGTCGTACATTGCAATGGTTCCATAATGCAATGTTCTCAATATACACTACTTGAAACACCAGAACTGTCAATTATAACAGTGTAGACAAGGCACCAAATGATACCAGTTTTGTTGGCCAATAATTACTATTAGATTTGTCCAAGCTTGTCAAAAACAGCAATCTACCAAAAATAGGTCATTATGGACAAAAGTCTCGAGGTGCAACAGTGGATAGTCTGTAGTTTGAATGATGGATAGTTTTGTGCAATATTCATACTCGATAGCACAATGAACACAATGAACACAATGAACACGATTGGATTGTTGTATATCTTGCCCATAATTGTAACAATATCCTTGAAACTGGATAGATTGTTAAATGATTGTGTAATCATTACTGATATTTATCCAAAAACAACTTGCTCAATTCGATCGAGTTATTATAGATTTGTACAAATTAATAAATATATTTATTGGGAGGAAATATCAATGCTCATTAAATAATAACCCTGTCATTGATCTCAAAGAAAATAACAACTCCATCCATATCAGGCTGGTCGCACGGAAGACCCTTGATTGGTTCAAGCAAAGTCTTGGGCTTTGAAGCGTCAATCTTGTAGTAAGCCTTTTTTAGAACATGGCTTCTTTGGAATTGAATTTCAAACGATGGAGCTGGAGGATTAAAGT